GAAAGGAAGAAAGGAAGAAAGGAAGGAAGGAAGGAAGGAAGGAAGGAAGGAAGAAAGAAAGAAAGAAAGAAAGAAAGAAAGAAAGAAAGAAAGAAAGAAAGAGAGAAAGAAAGAAAGAAGGAAGGAAAGAAAGAGAGAAAGAAAGAAAGAGAGAAAGAAAGAAAGAGAGGAAGAAAGAAAGAGAGGAAGAAAGAAAGAGAGGAAGAAAGAAAGAGAGGAAGAAAGAGGAAGGAAGGAAGGAAGGAAGGGGAAACGAAACAGTTACCAATACAATCCACTGTGAAAGTTAGGAATTTTTTTTCCAACTTGCCATTATTAATAGCCATTCACTTCCCCAAGAAAATCCACAAAGGAAGGAAAGAAATTTCAGCCCTTCTCCTTTCACTCCACCCAGAAGTCATCCTTTGGGAGAAGACAAAATGGAAAGCAGGCCCTTAAAGCCTGCGAACTTGAAATTTTTCAATTGCACACGAATGCTTGCTTATGTGTATGTGTTGCTGGAATTGCTTTATAAATTGTGCCTGGGCAGGGGAAGCTGAGTGAAATATCCAAAATTCAACTGAATATCTTGTAGAATATTTATCCAAGTCCGTAAGTCTTCAATATTATGAAAAGAATGTAGGATCGAATCCAGATTTTTTTTAAATCACTTAATAGAAAAAACACTTAATTTGGGATTCCGCCAAATACAGTGGTCTTAAGAAACCAAGGGAAAGTATATTTACGGATCTTATGACCCAAGAAGCATAAACTCCCATTAAGTGATCAAACTGGATGTAATCCGAAGGTTGCTGTGAGGAAAGATGAGAATCAAGGGACGGATGTCCAACCTGGAGCCGGAGAGGCGGCCGCAAGACCAAAGACATCTGCTGTCTGAAGCTGTAAGGCCCATGACATAACAGATGTGACACGGGGCCCCGTGAGCCACTAGAAAGACGGGACATTTTGCAGATGTGAAATTGAAAATGTTGATTTTGACAACATGAATTTGAAAATATCAATATTATTATAGAAACACATACAAAAGGCATAAAATAGTAATCCTCAGACTTGAGCATGCATCAGAATCACCAGCAGGGCTTGCCTAAATGCAGACTCCTGGGGCCCAAACCCTCAGCCTCCAATTCAGTAGGTCTTGGGGGCACCCAGAGAATCTGCATTTCTAACAAGTTCCCAGGCGATGCCGCTGCCACTGGTCCAGAGACTACACTTCAGAGGATATTCCTCCAGGAAAGAGTTTGCAATTTACCAAGTCCTTTCTGCGTATCACCTCCCCTGAGGTAGGAAGGCATCCGTGGGAGCACCCTCCCCCTCTCCTATTGCTGAGGTGGCCTCGTCACAGAGCGGCTGCTGAACAAGGCACACGTTAGAAGTAAACAATGGTGAAAAGGTTCTTAGCCGGCTTCGGACAATAAGCTTCTATTAACATTCCCGACTTGAGACAAACCATTCAGGTCTGCGCTGGTGGGTGTGACTGATGCTAGACCAGACAGAGCCGTGCTGGGGGTGATCAGAGGCAGAAGCTGGCTCGGGGTCCCAGCAGTGCCAGCTGCTTTGTGTGCGGTCCCTCGGGCCCCATCCTGTGTGGCTGCAGCTGGCCTCCCATCTGCCTGATCTCAGTGCAATTTGCAGACAGAGCAATAGGGGATCATGAAGGCCAAATCGGAGTGATTCTTTTGCTTTCTTGCTTTCTTGCTCTCTTTTCTTCCTTTCTTTTTTCCACCAGCCACTGATAGTTGGCAAAGAGATTAAAAGTAGAAAATATTAGACCTCCCTTTTCAATCCTTGCAGTAATGAATACAGAGAGAAAGGTATTTTATGGGAACTGTAAATAGCTTTCAGATAATCACACACATTTAACTTGAACAGGGAGCCTGCTTTATTTACTGCAACCTCAAGTGGCTGTCCTTCCTAAGCTGTCCTTCATATGTCCTATATGTCTTTTAACAAAATTTAATGTTCAGAGTTGCAGAAGGAGGTAAATATGAGATATTTAAGATTTATATTGTTTTTCTCTAAATAACTTTCTAATTAAAAAATTTTAATCTAATGTTCTATTTGGTAGCTAATGGTTTGGGGAAGTAAAAAATAAAGAATATATTTACCATAATCCTGGAAAAAATTATGAGGCATATTACAATTACTTATTTTTTTAATAGGTGACCTATCTTCTGTATAAAATTTGACTTAAGTAATATCATTGTTTTTTTTTTAGATAAATGTGCCTGGTAATCAAACTTCAAATTAAGCAGAGAATAACATGCTTCCATGTCTGAGAAAGATGTTCTAGTAAGTCTTTAAGATAAGCAAGGATTTTCAAAGGAAATATTTATGAAAATAGTTTTCTTTTGAAAGAACCAGTAAAAAAAGCTAACGGGATTAATGAGGACCACCCAGATTTCAAATATGCTTTCTTCTCATCATGGTTTCTGTGCCCATGTTTCAGTTGGACAGTACAGCCTTATGAAAATGGCAGAGGTAGAACACACACTAGTATCACAGATCAATCCATGTTACAGCAGGGGACACAGAGGTGGGGAGAGGGTAGAGAGGGCTATGCAGTGGGTTGGTGCAATAACCAGAGCTTCTAACCCCTAACTCTGTGTTCCTTCCTGAATTAAGGAATTATTTCCATTACTGAGAAAAGGTAACTCATAAATGTATGTCTGTAGAACTTCACTCTGAATTGCCAACTGGGCCAATTCTCCCTCTCCTTGTTGAGAAAAAAGTGGGCTGATGTGGGGGCAAAGAGTCTGTCTCTGCGGTCCCTTGGGCAGAAAAGCCAGTATGGTTTTTACCATTATTTGCTGAGATTTCCAGGTGACAGGTTATAAGACTAATAATGTCACTGTGCCTTATATTGGGGTAATGCCCATGACCCTTCTGCTCCCCACCCCGCTACATCTGCTTTTCAAATTGAGACTTTTCCAGCTAGAAACCAAGGGAAATGTCTGAAGTCCTGATCTGCCCCTATGAGAGGTGTGACACCCAGCAATTCTAGAATTTCCATCTAGAGGATGCTGGTCAAATGAGCATCCCAGGCAGCCTTGGGGGAAAGGAGAGGGTCCCAAAGAGGATCCCTGGAATCTGAATAGAAAGTGTGAAGGAAACTCAAGGTGGAGCTGGGCATATGAACTCTGTCTTTCTTCACTAAACTGGCTTCTTACCTGGGGCTGGCTGAAGGCTGTGCAAATCTCAGTCTATTCCTTCTCACCCCAAATGGGCTAATATTCCAACATGGAGCCAGGATCCTTGGCTCCCAGTCCAAATCAAAGTGGGTCATCTGTCCTTCCTGGGCACAGCCCAAGAAGGGAGGTCAATAGAATTGTCTTACTTGACAACTCTAACAGCTCCATCAGGACCTCAGTCAAGAGAATACCTGGTGACTTCTTGGGTATGTATCAGGAGGGAATTCTAATTCAAAAAGATACATGCACCCCAATGTTCATAGAAGCACTATATACAATAGCCAAGACATGTAAACAACCTAAATGTCCATCAACAGAGGACTCAATAAAGAAGATGTGATATATTTATACAATGGAATACTACTCAGTCATAAAAAAGAATAAAATAATGCCTTTTGCAGAAACATGGATGGACCTGGAGATCATCATTCAAAGTAAGGTGAGCCAGAAAGAGAAAAAAAAACCATATGATATAACTCATATAAAATACATAAACAGCAAGTTTCTCCTGTGTAGCACAGAGAACTATATCCAATATCTTGTAGTAACCTATAATGAAAAAGAATATGAAAATGCATATATGTACGTGTATATATGACTGAAACATTATGCTGTATGCCAGAAATAATTGATGCATTGTAAACTGACTATACTTCAATAAAAATAAAAAGAAAAGAAAGAAATATATATACCATCCCCTTCTGTCCTCCTTGGGTCTTATTTACTTAGCAAAACCTTTTTTTCATGTGTGTCAGTCCAGGGTCTCCAAGAAGCAGACATGAAGACGCAATTAGATAGTTGAGAGATTGTGGTGCGAGTGGAGGGGAAATCCAAGTGAAGGACAGAGGGGAGGAGAGAGAGGGCAGGGATATTTTGGAGACGGTCTTCAGCCTGAGCTGCAGTTCTGACACCTGAGAAAGGAAAGAGGGAGCCTCAGCCTGCAGTGGGCTCTGCGAGCATCTTTTCCGGGTTGACGGTGAGCCCTGGAGCAGAGCTTACCCATCAAAGGACACCTGCCTTCTGCAGCAAAGAACTGGTGTTAGTACTGCTCGCCAGCCTCCCACCCCACAGCAGAGTTTCTCAAAGGGATTGCTGGGCACCTACCTCATGGCACCACCACACACACAAATCTGTTACCTTGATGTTTGGTTAGCTCTGGAATAAAGCCCCTCCTCCACGAAAGGGTTTAATTCTGCCTGTCAAGGAGGAAATAGCACGAACAGTGTATGATGTTGGCATACTGGTAGTATGTTTTAATTTTTTGGCGGAGAAAATGATTCTTGTTATGAAATAAGAATATCACGTTTCATTCACACGATGATTATATTTTAGGGATAAGAGGGGGCTTTAGAAACAGTTGAGCCAGTTTATACATGAGATCTGATTTAATTTAAACAGGCTTTCTCCCGTACCTCTTAACCCTCATATATTCTAAAGAGAGCTTCCTGATTCTTCTTTCCAGAACTTTCGCCCAGAAACTGGACATCTGGGTGATAGTTTTGATGGTTGTCCAAATAGATTGCCCAGAGGAATTCCAGGATCACACTTACTTTGGCACAATTGTAGCAGAGAATCTTGTATGCTTTTGACATCCAGTGGGTGGTTCTGAGCCTCCCCTAAATTCCAAGAAATGATCCTGCCTCACAGAACCCCCCAAACTGTGCACTTTTATTGAAATAAACTCAGTTTACCCTTGTCCTGTGTAGAGAATGTTCATGACAATGTCCCCTCTCTGTGCTTCCCTTCAATTAAAATCCACCCTATATAATCTGTGTCTCCATTGCTCTAAGTACAGCTCATTTTAGCTTAAGTGCTGCATTTTGCAATAGCCCAGAGTGTGTATGTTTTGAGTTCTTTGGTCTTCTAAAGTCGGCTGTGGGATTTTTTTCAGAGTTCAGCAACCTGATTCAAATTGCCTAGAAAGCTTTGAAGAGCGGCTCACTTCCAAGGCTCACCAACACCAGGTAGGTTCAATCTCTGTAACGAACACCGGAAAGCCCGTTTTCGCTTTTTTCTTTTTTTTTTCTTTTTTTTTTGGCACAGGATAACTGGAACAATCAGAACATGTATTTAGTTGGTATCGCATCAGAACAGATTTGCTTTCTAAACCTAGAAAAAAAATAGAAATATCACACTCATATACTTGAAAGCTAAAGCATGTATTCATTCCCTATATTAGATAGGTTTATCCATCTTTATGGTGAGCCCAGGACATCTATTCATGGAAAATTAAGTCTAAGGGCAAAAACAAGTCATTACAAAAATCTGTACCCAGTACGCATCTGTTTACTTGTCTGTTTTCGCCTAATACAGTGGCTTAGTTTTGAACTTCCCTCTTTTTCCGTCATACTCTCACACTTCCCTTGGGATTTTTGGGTAGTTTACAAAATATTGAGTACTTCCTAGGTACTAGGTGCCAGATGCTAGGTATGCACACAGTGGCAAACGGGCTTTTGGACTTATTATACAGCATAAGCTCCATGAGAGGAGGGACTTGCTTTGTTCATCACTGTGTCTTCAGCACCCCAGGGGAGAAGTGCTACCCAGAGCCCAAAGACTCAGCCCCATCTTTCCCGGGAGTCGTTGTGGGTTGGAGAGCAGCCTAGTCAGATAGCTCAACAATCGTAGCTAACACAGGGGTTAAGGCTGATTGTATTGACAGGCTGTGCTCATATCTGTACATATTTTTATCTGTACAGATAAGTCGACGATACATTGATATCTGTCTGTCTAGTTAGATAATACATACATGTGTGTACATCCGTATCCACCTATCTGTACGTATACACAACTCATCCTCATGATTTGTAGTCCTTATATTCTATAAAGGCACCACAAACACTAAACTAGCAAGTAATGAGCCATTGCTTTTACGGATAACACAGGGTTAGTTTCCTGCAACCATCCAGTCACAACGTATTCGTTACCAGATCAATACATAATCTTGTTTCTATTTAAAGGCAACTTATTTAATATATGTTGGCGATTCATTAATATTCGTCACACAGCCAGTGGCACCGTCACTCATGGTTAAACAAAGCTTACCTACACACCTGTTTTCTCCTTAAGGCACATCACAGCCGTACTTGTACTTAGGAACTTGTACTTAGGAACGCCGGATAGGAAGGACGTCAGCCCTGCATTGTGGGCCATTATAGACAGTGAACTCACCAACAAAAGAGAACAAAAATGTGAAAAAGCGTGGCATTAAATATCTTGAGAAAAGGGCACTTCTTTACATTATAAAAGCTGAGACTAGCAGGCGGAGCACGGCCTCATTCATGCTCACTGGGAACTTGGACATCAGTGGATTCTAATCTGTTGCCACCTTGTGCATGACCACAGATGGCCCCAGAGGGCCGCACGTGCCGGTTTGGGCATTACATGTCAAGTTTAGCAAGTAGGCAAATTCACAAACAAAGATGCTGCAAATGATGTGGATTAACTCTATATGTATATATACACATACCTTCACATATATGTGTATATAGACACATACATACACGTACACATATATGTGTATATATGTGCATGTTCGTGTATATGCAGAGAGAGAGACTGTGTTATGACCACAATAGCCATCTATAGCAGATAATAACCCTGTCTTTATTTTATACGTTACAAAAACTGAGAGACAAAAAAAATTAAGTAGCTGACTGATAAATTATTTGAACCCAGGGATTCAAACTCCAGATCCTGTCTTCTTGATACCCAACAATTGTTTGTTATTAGTTTTTGTTTTGTTTTTCCCCCATTTTGATATATTTTTATTGAGATAGAGCATAAAGCACAAAAATGCACATTTCATAAGTATACTTGATGAATTTTTATAAAATGAAGAAGCCCATGCAACCAGCACTGAGTTTAAGAAACAGATCTGATACCTTTGAAGTTCCTTGGGACCTCTTCCACTCACCAATCCCCACCCCCCATCCCAAGAGCAAACGAGTTGTGACTTCTTAGCATTAGCTACAATTTAAAATGCATAAAACGTGATTCACGCCACCTAGATCTTGGTGTCTAATACCATTCTCCAATAAAAAGAACCAGGACTTCTTGGAGAAGTGTCTGATTCTAGGACTAAAGCAGGAAATAGTCAAGATGAGCCTGGAGCATCTTGTAGTGCCAAAAAGTAAAAATGTACTCAAAAAAAAAAACCCAGAATGATGGGCGTATCAAAAGGACACAAGAGTCAACTGAGCGAG